TATTTTTTTTTTTTTTTTTTTTTTTTTTTTTTTTTCCTGTATTTATTAATTTAAAAGGTATTTTCTCAATTATGTTTTCATTTTAAAATTATATTAAAAAAATAAAAATACATTAGCAATAATAACAATTTTAAAATATGTTATAAAAAAAAAAATTAAAAATAAATATTTTAAACGTTTTTTTAAAATTAATGAAATTTTATATATTTTTTTTTATTATATTAAAAATTTATTACATAAAAAAAAAAAAAAATTCCCTCCAAGAAAAATATTTATATGAATCTAAGTTAATGCATATTTGTAGATAATTTTTAAAAAAATTAATAATTTCGTTTAAAAATATAAAAAAAATAAATATTATCTTTTTTTTTTTTATTTTTTTTTAAATTGAAAGTTTATAAGTAAATTATATAAATTTAATAAAAAAAAAAAATATGTTTACATATTTATAAATATATATATGTTCCTATTTATTGTAAACATTTTTTTTTTAAAAATGTAGAATTTTTTCTTCAAATAAGTAATGTGACAATAAGTCTTGATTTAAAAAATATATATAAATTATTTAAAATCTAAGAATACTAATATCTTGTTAAATAAAAAGAAAAAAAAAGTTAATTCTAATAATATATGTGAATAATTAAAACCTTTAAAAAAAAAAAAAAAAAAATAATAATAATAATAATAAATTAATTTTATATATAATATTTTTCATTATTTTAAAGCAATAAAAAATGGCAAAAAAAAGAGAAACAAAAAAAAAAAAAAAAAAAAGATATACTTATTTATAAAACATAAAAATAGGAAAACTAATATAAAAATCTATCATTAATAATATTATAAAGTGTAAAAATTTCCTTCTGATTTTTTTTAACATCTTCTTTATTTAAAACAAGAGGAACTTCTCCATTAGGTGTTAAAATATAAAAATCAATTAAATTTTTATCTGGTTGAACATGTTCTATATTTTCATATTTAACATAAGAACTACCTCCGATATTCTTATTTTCTAATTTATTTATATTTTTATCTTCAACTATATCAACTAAATGTTTTAAATTTCTTACTTCAATATTTTTAACTTTTAGAACAATGCAATCACTATAATAATATCCAATAGTTAATTTAGATGGTAATATATTCTTTAATATTACTATTTCATCACCTTCATTTTTTTTAAAAAAATTATACTGTATTAATCTATTAATTTCAGGATTATCAGTTTCATTTTCTGTATATAAATTTTTAGATAATGTTGTGAAAACTAAACCACCATAAATAAAATATTTATTCCGTATATCCCAATTATGTTGAGAGATTAAGTAATTAATTTTTGATAATTTAACAACTACACTTTTTATTTCTTTATTTCTTACTACTTTTACTACACATAAATCATCAATAAATTTATCATTAAAAAGGTATTGAAATCCAACAGATTCATCATTCCTTAATTTTGTAGTTCCATCATTATTTATATTTTTACCATCTACACTTAAAATTACATCATTTATTTTTAACCCATAACATTTATCTTCCTTATTAGAATAATTTATTATTTTTTCACTTAATTTTTGTTTTTTCATAGTCATTTTTATATCTATATTATCTTTTTCATTTTTTTTGATATAATTGCAATAATCAATATCAGACTTTTTATATTTCATTTGGTTTTCATCTACTTCAGTTACTAATATTCCTATATTCTCCTTAATAGCTTTTTTTTTTTCTAGATTATTTAAACCTAATGTTTCACGAATATGAGGGTTTTCTAATGGTTCGAATTTTACTCCTAAAAATGCATAGCCGTTATAATGATTTGTTTTATATATATCTAAAAGAAAATGTTTAATTATAGTAGTTGGTATAATATAAGAAATACTGTTTCCCATTTTGTATGACTGAAAACAAATACCAACCACCTTTCCTTTTACTAAAGCTGGACCTCCACTATTTCCTGGATTCATTGGTGCATCTATTTGAGTTAATAATAACCTTAAAAAAAAAAAAAAAAATTAATATAAAAAGATTAATATTAATTATATTCTTATAATTTTACAATTAAAATAAGAATTTTCATTTTTACTTGTAATTTGAATGTTTATAATATTGTACATCTAATCTACTAATAATTCCTTTTGATATACTCAATTTGTCTCCACCTGACGGATATCCAACTGTTATTACGTCATCTCTCAAAGAAGGAAGAGAACCAAGTTCAAGTGGTTTTATATCTTTATAAAAACGCTTATCTTGTACAACTAAAATAGCTATGTCAGCCTCATGTGCTACATATATAACTTCAGATTCATATTTTTTTGGGTTCCTAATATTATAATTCATAAATATATATAATTTTTATTTTATTTTATTTTATTTTTTTTTTATTCTTTTTATTGATTATTTATTTTTAAAATTAAATTAATTTTTATACCCGTGTTTTCTTATTAAAATTCTGGTGCTGTAAGAAATGTTATGAGCGTTTGTTAATATTAAACCTCCTTCAATAACAAACCCAGAACTATAAATAAAAAAAATACAAAATATATTAAAATAATGTATTAAATATATAAATATAAATCAAATAATTTTATTATATACCCAGTCAAATGTTTAGGTGAATTATTTTGCCATAACATTTCTATATTAGGTCTAGTAACATCAACATATAATTTAACAACTCCTTTAAAAATCTTATTCAGAGAATCCGTTTCTTCTAGTCCTTTTATATCAATGTTGTTGTTTTTATCTTTTTCGTTAAATTGAGAATTTAACTCATTACTCACAAATATTTTCTTTAAATTTTCTAAAAGTTTTTCACTTATTATGGAATTTTTTGAAATATTATTAGTTTTAAATTTGTTATTATTTCTTGAAATATCATTTTTTAATATATCACTTTTTCCTTTATTATTAAAAACCTTTATTTCATTAGTTGTCGAATAAGGATTAAAATAGTCTAAAAATTTATAAAATCATACATAAATTTTAATTTTAATTATAATTTTTTTTTTTTTTTTTTTTTTTTTTTTTTTTTTTTTTAAATATTCTTACTTGGAAAAAATCTTAAAAATCTTATAAATTTATTTTCTTTATTTTTTTTAGAATCATCAAAGATTGGATTATTACCTTGCTTAATAGATACGTAATATTTATCTGGTTCATCTTCTAATATATTTTCTTTTTCATCAAATTTTTTGAAATTGTTTTTATTCTTAAATATTAAATTATCATGGAATAGTTTTTTTTTAATGAATTTTAAAAAGTTAGATACAAATGCATTTTTAATATCTTTTGCTTCATATTGATCATTAATTAATTTCAGTTTTCCTAATTTTTCTTCTTTATTTTTTGTATTATTTTGGAAAATTTGTCCATTACGATTTTTATTTTCCTCATAATTTCTTTTTTCATTTATTAATGAATTATCGAAGATAATTTGTTTTATTGGATTTATAGTATTACCTTTATTTTTTAATTTTGGTCTATTATTTTTTTTTTCTCCTAAAAATAAATCAATATTTCCATCTAAATGATTACTATTTTCATTTTCTTTTAAATTTAATATTTCTCTTACGTTTGCATTCTTTTTCGTTTTTAATTCTAAATTAGGATGAAACGTAACTTTTTTTAGAACAAAGGGGTTGTCTATTGTGTCTTTGTTACTATTTCCTTTATTACTAAAGAAAGGATTATTAAAATGAGAAAAAACTAATTTATTTAAACCTGGATCTAATTTATGTATACTATAAGATTCATCATTCTTTATTTTATTATTGAACACATTTGTAAATGTATTTTCTTTTGTTTCATTTCTTTTTTTATTTATGTTACTATCTTTTATTAATTTATTATTATTTTGTTTCTCACTATTATTTACCAATTTATTATTATTATATTTTTCATCATTTTTTATTTTATTTTTTAATAAATTTAATATGTCTACACCATTATTATTTAATGCTCCTTTTTCTATATCGTTTTTTTTTGTATATGTTACAACTGGTATTTCCTTTTTTTTTTCTCTTAATTTTTCGTCTTCATTAATTAATTCTGTTTTTTCTTTTCTATTATATAATTCATTTACTTCATTTAAATTATTTTTCAATTCATTTTCTTCTTCTCCGTTATTAGAAAGTGAATTGTTTGTATCTCCTTCTGTATCGTTATATTTTTCATCTTCATCATTTTCTATTTCATTTTTGTTATTTTCTATTTCATCTTCATAGTTTTCTATTTCATTTTCGTTATTTTCTACTGCATTCTCATAGTTATCTATTTCATTTTCGTTATTTTCTACTTCATTCTCATAGTTATCTATTTCATTTTCGTTATTTTCTACTTCATTCTCATAGTTATCTATTTCATTTTCGTTATTTTCCATTTTATCTTCATCGTTTTCTATTTCATTTTCATAGTTTTCTATTTCATTTTCATTATTTTCTATTTGATCAATATTATCTTTTGTTATATTATTAATGCTTTTAAAATTATTTCTACTATATTCTATATCATTATTATCATCTTCATATGCATAATTATTTTCTTCATCGTTATAATTTTTTAATCCATCTAAATTTCCTTCTATCTCATCTACATTTTCTTCTTCATTGTTTCTATGAAGTTTCATAAAATTATCATAATTTTTTAATTTTAAATCTTCTAGTTTTTCAATTTCATCTTGTAGTGTTGGGAATGTCACTTTTTCTATATCTAATGCATTATCTAAAAAAAGAGGTTGAAAAAACTCATGCAATTTTCTACCTACACATTCATTTTTTTCTATATAATTAACTAAGTAACTCAAATTATAATCAACATTTTGAAAATTTAGAAATGTTACAATTAACACTTTAAATAAAAATACAATATTATGTAATTTCATTTTCTATTTTATTATAAAAAATAAGTATGATTCAAATTGATTTATAATTAGGAAAAATATAATATAATAAAAATACTTAGCCTATCCTTAACATTATTTTTATATTTAAAATAACAATATCAATTAATCCATATATTATTTTTTTGAAATTAATTGTTAGTTATTATTTTTTAATGCACCAATTTGCATTTAAAAAGATATTAAATTTTTATAAAATGCATATTTATATAAATATGCATATTAATTTTATTAAGTTTAACTTTTAAAAAAAAAAGAAAAAAAAAACAGAAAAAGAGAAAAATATAATATATATATTCATATAAATACAACCATATGCTTCATATATGAATACATTCACATATATATATATATATATATTGATCTTTTATAAAAAAAAAAAAAAAAAAATTATTTATTCTGATTATTTGAAAGATCTTTATTTTCTTCATTTTTAACTAAATCTTCTTCATTATTTGATTGTTCATTTGTTTCTGTTTTCTTGTTATTTGAGGAATTTTCTTTTGATTCATTTTTATCAAATACATTAGAATTATTGTTAATTTTACTTAAAATATCAGAAATATAATTAGTATCTTGTATTAAAGATGCATTATTTTTATCAATTTCATCAGTCTTCGTTAAATCATTTTCTTTTGAGATGTTTTTATCATTATTATAAATATTTTCATTTATTACATATTTTGAATTTTCTACAATATTTTCATCTTTATCTAATTTAAATACTTTTTCGTAGCTTTCATTTTCTTTTTTTTCTTTTGAGTCTTCTAATTTATTTTCATTATTATTATCAAAATTATTTTTATAACTTTCATTAACTAATGTTAAGTTTTCTTCTTTTTTATTATAATGAATATTATTATCCGATTCTTCTTTATTTGTATTATCTGACTTATTTTTTTCAGTGTATTCTTTTAATGATAATATTAAGGCTTCTTTTAATTCATTATCAATATCTTTCATATTTTCAATCTCTTCGATAGTAGGTAAATCATTATTATTATTATTTTTTTCATTCAAATTTTGATTTTCTTCTAGTGACATTTGCATAGCGCTTATTAGTTGCTCATCTTGCATATTGTCTATATTAAAATCATTATGATTTAAAAATGAATTCAAAACAAATTTACTTAAGTTTGTTTCATTTTCAGGGCATTCAATGAATCTACAATTATCGTTATTATTAACACTTTCAAATAACTTCATTAATTTATCTCTATTTTTATTTGTATTTCCAAAACTAATTATATCTACAGAAATATTATTTTTCTTTAATTGTTTTCCTGTATTAATTAGTTGTTTTTCATTTACATCAAAAGGACTACCAATAAATAAAATAATTTTTTGTTCTAAATTTTTATCAACTCTGTGTTTTAAAGCCAATTGTGCTATTAATAAACTTCTTATAATATCACATGTTCCATCTAGTTTTATATCATGAATACATGATAAAAGCTGACCTATATCATTTGTTAAAGAAACTTTTACTTTTATTTTATCTCCTGCCATCATTAATATTCCGATATTGTTTTTATAATGCATACTTGTTTTATTACAACATAACACATTTATACAATCAATCTACATATTTAAAAAATAAAATAAAATAATCATATACATATATAAATAATATTAAATATAAGTAATGTCAATAATATATTAATTATTTAATATAAATTATATAATTATTATTCCTTATTATATTTTTTTTTCATTTTTTTTTTTAAACATATTTTTATTATTATTTATTTGTTCATTATTATCAAATATTCTAATATGTTATATATTATTTATATTCATGGAAATTTAATTTTCCCTATATATATATATGTATATATTTTATGTTTACTAATTACCTGTGATAAAAATCTATTTGGTATAATATCTTCATTTCTATTATAATCACTGTTATCTATACAAATAATAGTTGCTTCAATATTACTCATTTTAAAAAATGTAAATTTTGCTATTATTCATAACATGTATTATTTTTAAAAAAAATAACAAAAATTATATATGATAAAAAAAAAAAAAAAACTCCTTAATTAAAATATTACTTGGAATGCAAAAATAAAATATATTGAAATCCTTAATTTTTATATATAAAAAATAAAATAAAAATATGTATATTTTATATAAATGTAATATATTTATATTTTATTATTTTTTTTTTTTTTAAATTAAAAAGAATAAAATGAAATATTTTTTTTCATAATGATAGATTGTAATTTTTTCTATTTTTAATAAATTTTATTTTATCATATTTATTTATGCTATTATACATTTTGTTATCAAATTCTTTTTGCTTAAATATTATTATTTTATCCTTTTTACAAAATTATTCTTTACGTACATAAATATATATATATATATATTTTTTTTTAATTTTGCAATTTTTTGTAATAAAATTCTTTTTGTTTTTATAATCCGCATGAATATTATTAATTCGTTCGTTTTTATATATATGCTGGATTAAGAACAAAAGGATAAAAAAAAAAAAAAAAAAAAAAATTTACACACTATAAAATTTATATATACATTTATGTAATTTTATTTTCTTTTAAAATATATAAATTATTATTTGAATTTTGAAACTGTGATGCTAAGAATTTTTAAAACTAAAAATTTATTCAATTCAAAGATACTTCAAAAACGTAATTATTTTTTTAACAAAATGGAAAAAAATATTATAAAAAGAGAAGAGAATGAAGTTGAAGAAAGAAACGAAGAAATAGATAATATAGAAAACATAGATAAAAGATTTAATGAAATAATTTCAATTTCTTGTGAATGTATTCAACCAGAAGAATTAAAAACAAAATTACTTTTAAAAAGAAGATTAATATGTTATGATGGGTTTGAACCATCTGGTCGTATGCACATAGCTCAAGGTAAAAAAAGATAAAAAATAAGATATAGTACTACTTTATGAAACAAAATATTGTAAAAATAATTAAATATCTTCATAAAAATAACAATAATATATATATATATTTCTCATAAATAATGAGATAAATAATTTATTTTTTTTAGATTTTTTTTATATGCTCATTTTATAAAATTATTTTTTATTTCTACATTATGAGATTTAACAATAAAAATATTTTTATTTTTTTTTATTTTTTATTATTTTTTATTTTTTTTTATTTTTTATTATTTTTTATTATTTTTTTTTATAGGTTTATTAAAATGTTTGATTGTAAATAAATTAACAAGTAATGGTTGCAAATTTATATTTTGGATAGCTGATTGGTTTGCACAATTAAATAATAAAATGTCAGGAGATTTAAAAAAAATAAGAAAAATGGGAAATTATTTTATTGAAGTATGGAAATCATGTGGTATGAATATGGAAAATGTAGAATTTTTGTGGGCGAGTGATGAAATAAACAAAAAACCAAATGATTATTGGTCATTAGTAATTGATATTTCAAGAAGTTTTAATATTAATAGAATTAAAAGATGTTTAAAAATTATGGGTAGAAGTGAAGGTGAAGATAATTATTGTTCTCAAATATTATATCCATGTATGCAATGTGCTGATATATTTTTTTTAAATGTTGATATATGTCAATTAGGAATTGATCAAAGAAAGGTAAATATGTTAGCAAGAGAATATTGTGATATTAAAAAAATGAAGAAAAAACCAATAATTTTATCTCATGAAATGTTACCAGGTTTATTAGAAGGACAAGAAAAAATGTCAAAATCAGATGAAAATTCTGCAATATTTATGGATGATTTAGAAGCAGATGTTAATAGAAAAATTAAAAAAGCATATTGCCCACCAAATATAATAGAAAATAATCCAATTTTTTCTTATGCTAAATCAATAATATACCCATATTATAATAAATTTCATTTAGTCAGAAAAGAAAAAAATGGAGGTTTGGATAAAAATAAATTATAGCAATCTTTATATAAATTATTTGAAAACTTTTAAAAAAAAATATAAAAAATAATAAACTTTAATTTTTTTTTTTTTTTTTTTTCTAATAGGTGATAAAATATATTATGATATTAAAGAATTAGAAAATGATTATATCAGTGGATTAGTTCATCCATTAGATTTAAAAGATAATGTTGCCATCTATATTAACAAATTATTGCAACCTGTGAGAGATCATTTTCAAAATAATGCAGAAGCAAAAAAATTATTAAGTGAAATAAAAAAATATAAAGTAACAAAATAATTTTATAAAAATTTACACTAACAAATTAAAAATATGATATAATTTTCTATATAAAGGTTCATAGTAACTTTAAAGTTATTTCTTTAATAAACATTTTTTTTTTTTTTTCCCCCTTTTTATTAAAAAAAAAAAAAAAAATTTTAAATAGTTATAGAAAATATTCAGATTAAAAATCTTTCTTTCTGTAAATAATAATATTTATGTATTAGCATATGGGACACTTTCTCAATTTTGTTATAAAATAGAATTATAAGTATTCTTTATATATTTAATAATTTTGTTATTTATTTCTTTTTAATTTTTTATGGATTATATTTTAAAAGTAAATATTGTTTATTATGTATGTATGTTTGTATATATATAATATCTATATTTTTTTACTTTGAAGTAATTTTAATTTTATATATATATATATATATATATTTATATATATATATAGTTATTTAAAATTTTAAATACATTCATATTATTACATTATTAATTATTTTATAAGTGATATTTAGTTATTTGTTATTGTTATAAATTAATTTTAGTTATATAATTTGGATAATATAGATATTACACATTATTTATTTAATTTCCTTTATATATTTACACTATAAATTTTTTATTAACAATATTTTTTTTTTTTTTTTTTTTTATATCGTATAATAGATATTTATTCAAGCTTTCATATAAATATTTTAATATTAAATTTATGTTATATTTTTTTTTTTTTTTTAAAGTTTATATTTTTTATAGAAAAAAAAATAAAATAAAAATAAATATAAATAAAAATAAAACTAAAATTATATATATATATATATCTATTCTTATTTTAAAATGTAAAAAATTAATGATATTATTTATATATAAAAAAATTGATACCTTTAATAATTAAAATTATTAAAATTATTAAAATTATTAAAATTATTAAAATTAATAAAATTACATATTTTGAAAGATTACTTGATAATTATATAACTTGAAATATAAGTATGTAATTACATAATATGTATAAAATTTTTCTTTTTTTTTTTTTTTTTAAATTCAAATTTTTTAAACTATGAAATGAAAATTTATAATTATATATTTGGGAGTATAGTAGATTCGTATCATCACATTGAAAAAATTAAAAATATTTTTGAATATAGTAGAATTAACAAATATTTTAAAGAAATAAATATACTGAATAAATATCTTAATAATTATAAATTAGGAATTGAAGAAAATAGAAATAAAATTAAAAAAGATGTTCATTTAATATTAAGGAACAATTATTTAAGGTTTGAAAAAAATATAGAAGATGAATTGATATTAATGAATAGATATATATACTTTGAAGTTAAGAGTGAAGATTATGTTATGATATGTAGGAAAAAAGTAAAAAGAAAACATATTAATAATTTTGATTTTTATCAGAATAAATCAATTAATGAATTAAAAAATGAGAAGATTATTTCTAATTTAGTATCAGAAATTATAGCTATATTTCCAATAAATTTCAATATAAAATTTTTTAAAATACATAGAAATAATTTCTTTTCATTTATAATTGAAAGAAATGATAACCATTTGAATTATTGTTATATATTTAAAAATTCTGTTCCTATTAAAGATTCAAATATTGATAATATTGATTCTAATTATATTTTGAAAAATATTTGTAGCGAAAATGAAGTAATAAATAATTTGAAAAAAAAGAAAAGAAAAGATGAAAAAAATGAGCTACAAAAAAAAAGATTTCTGAAAAAAGAAAATATATATAACAATAGAAATAATGGAATTATAGAAAAAAATAATATAGACGAATGTTATGATAAATATAACTATAATTGTAATGGTAATGGTAATAATTTGTATAAAATAAAATTTTCTATGATATCAAAATGTATCTACTTAAAAGATGGTATACAAAACATGGAATTTATACCATTAAAAAATAAAATAGATTTTTTATCTACTGAATTAAATAATAAATATAGATGTGATAAATGTTATTTGAACTGTTCTATTAATGATAAGAAGCTAATATTCGAAGAAAAACAAAAAGAATATTTTTTGAATTTATACAAAAGTAAAGATAAGAAGAAAATTTTTCTTTTGAGTGGAAGTCATTTACATAATAAATTATTTTTTCTTCATATAAATTATAAAAAAAGTAATAATTATCAAATAAATTTTATTCAATTTAAATGTTCCTTTTTAAGGGGGAAATGTTTTATGGAGAATTTTTATCATTATATTATTTTTATATACCAAAATGGTAGCAATATAGATATATATTTTATGAATGATAATAACTTAAATTATATTCTAGAAAAAAAAAAGAAAAAAAAAGATGTCCTATATTCTCATAAGTATATTGTTTTTTTAAGAAGAGAAATAATGCAAATAGATAATTTTTTAAAAAAAATAATAACATTAGAAAATTACACCTTACAAGATTTTGATTTCACTAAATATGGTTTAATTCTTTACTTATATAAATATTTTTTAAAACCATATATATGTGTATTATATTTATTTAGAAAACACGTTTATTTAATTAATAATAATATTAATAATGGCAATAATTATAATACTAAAACAGTAAAATCTAAAATTTTAAAAAAAAAGAATAATGAAAAAGAAAATAGATTAATTGCAAAATTAAAAATGTTTATCCTTCCTATTAAAAAGGGAAGTATAATATGTGGTATTAATAATATTTTTGAGAATCCTTTTATAAATTTTTATATATCAAATACATTTATAAATAATATTAATTTGGTAATAAATTTAAGGAAATGCTTAATTGCATTACCTAAAAATATATATAAAGATAAAGAGTTTTTTTTTAAAAATAAAAATATTCTTTATGATAATGAACTTGAAGAAATTTTTAAAAAAAATAAAGAATTCGATATAATCGATGTATTTATAAATTCAAGAGATAATAAAAAAATTCCTATTACCTTAATCTATAAAAAAATTAATAATAATAATATATATAGTATGGATAAAGTTTATAAAAACTTCCATCAATATGTAATTGAAGAGAGTAATGAAAAAGGATATAAAAATAATATAACTACTAATTATTACAGTATTTTTAAAAGTCATCTACCTTTTTTTGCTAATTCTAGTAAGGCAATTATTAATGTTTATCCATTTTATAATGAGATAAATATATGTAATTACACTGATGAATATTATTTTTATCTTTTGAATAATTTTGTTATTATTTATTTACATTTAAGAGGGTCTGGAGGGATTCAAATGAAAAAGGATAAGAATATATCAAGAACTTATGAAAAAATAAAAATGATTCATGACTTAATTGATTGTATTAATTTTATTAAATATAAAAACATAAGCGACACACAAAATATTTCCTTATATTTATATTCTAATAGTGGATTATTTGGAGGTTATATATTAAATCATTTAAAAAAATTTGTTCAAAATATTATTTTTATAAATCCTTTTTTAGATTTTTTTAATAATTTAACAAATTTTAATAATCCATATGTCAAATCAGAAATGCTTGTTTTTGGTTATATGGATGGTAATTCACTTCTTTTAAGAAATAACACGATAGAAATATACCAAAAGAAAAAAAAAAAAAAAAAAAAATCATGTTGTGTGTTAATGGGAAAAAATACCAATAGTTTCCCATTTCTGAGAATGTATAAAAAGTGTGTATTTATAAAAGGAAAACACAAAAATTTTAAAAAACATATAAATAGCTATAAAAAAATAAAATTCAAAAATTTTATAAATAATATTAAAAATAACTTATTCTTTTTATATTCTTTTTGTCCTTACTTTAATATAACACCAAATTATTCTGAAGTTTTTACAAATGAAAAAAAACATAAAAATGAATTAATTTTCATAAATGAAAGGAATAATATTCCATTAAAAAATAGAACTATTTTATTTTTAAACAAATATGATGTAATATGCCCAAATTATAATTCAATTAAATACTTTTTAAAATATTTGAATTATAAAAAAATAGATATAAAAAATTACTATTTTGTAAAAACAGATTTAACATTAATAAATAAAAAAATGAATTTTTTAAACTATCATAATTCTCATAATCATAAAGGTGATTTTTATATTTCATATTCAAAGAGAGGTGGGCACAGCGGATTTAATAGTTACTTATCATTTTTAAATCAGACAATAGATAAAATATATTTTCATATTTTTAAAAACTAAAAAAAGAGAAAATATATTTTAAAACATTTGTATATATATATATTATTTTAATATATTAATACTTTTGTATAATTTATATATAAATATATATATATATCATTTTTAAAAATTAATACATTTTTGTTCTTTTTTTTTTTTAGTTTCAAAATTTAAAACTAATAAAAATTTTGGTTCTTAATATATGATATAAAATCCTTTATTCTTTTTAATTGTTTTTTGTAATTATTCTTACTTTTTTTTTCTTTTCTTTTTTTTTTTCCTTTAAATAATATTAAAAATCAAATTTGTTAAGTATTTTTAATTAAAAAGCTTCCATAACTATATATAAAAGAAAATAAGATTTTTCTTAAAATAAAATATGTTAATATTTTATTTTAAAAATATATATATATATATTTTTTTTTTTTTTTAATTAAAAGATAACTGTAGTATTCATGTAACTTTTTTATTAAAAGAAATAAAAGTTAATTACACAGAAAAATATAATATATATTTAAAAAAAAAAAAAAAATATATGTATGTAAAAAATGTATAAAAAATTAAAAAAAAAAAAAAAATATATGTAAAAAATGAATAAAAATAAAGTAATAAAAAAAGGAAAGAAAATATTTGTGAATTATTTTCCAGAAAATAGTAGATTTTATTAATAGAAGCATATGAATATAAAAAAAAAAAAATATATATATATAGAATGATAAAAATAGTATATCTATATTTACATATATAAATTAAAATACATAAATATATTTCTATTTTAAAAAATAAAATAATATTAATACTTATAAAAGTTGTAGGGTAATTTATCATGGATAGCTCGTTTATTGAACTAATAAAAGATATAAAAAGAGATGACAGTGTGAAAAATTTAGAAAAAAATTATCAAATATGTGTAAATAAATTAAAGGAACTAGAAAAAAAAAAACAGAATGATAAAATATTTGTTCTGAATTCTATAAATAAAGAAAAATCATTTATATTATTAAAATTGCTATATTTACAAATGTTTGGTAAAAAAATTGATAAAGAGTATAATTTTTCTGTAATTGAACTTTTAACCTGTAATAAATATATTTTAAAAAGAAGAGGTTATTTTTTTTTGAACAATATTAATGATAATGAAGATATTATTTTTTTATCAATTAATTTATTTAAAAAAGAATTATATAAAGAAAATATTGCAAACAGTGAAAATAGTAAAAAATCCAATGTTATAAATTCTATATCTAATTTTAGTAATGCAATAATTAAAGATAATATCAACTTATTTAATAAAGTAGATCTAAATAAAAATCAATTTATGCATGGTGTAAATATGGCTAAAGATTTTAAAATTTTTAATACAGTTTTAATTTTAAATAGTATAAGTAATATATGTACAGATATTATGAGTAATAATATTTATAATGATATATTCTTGTTATTAAATAGTAGTTACATGTATATTAGAAAAAAAACTATTATTTGTTTTTATAAATTAGTTATATGCAATTTAGATATTTTGCATTTATTTTTAGATTTTATAAAAAAACATTTTGTTTCTCTTTATAATAATCAAAGTACATCTTATGAAAAAAGTTTAAATGATGAAATTGATTATACATATAGAAATAACACTTTTCTTTGCTGTTTAATTATTAATATATTAGCTGAAATATTTTCTACATTAGAAAAAAATGATGAAAAGAATAATAAGGATAAATGTAAAAACATAAATGGAAAAAGAAAAGATGAAGAAAATGAAGAAGGAAAAAATGTGAATAATGTACACACCGTTTCTGAATACTTAAAAAAATTTTTGTCTTTTATTCCTTTTATTTATAATATTTTAAACGAAAGATTAAGTTTAATAGATAATTGGAAATTGATAAAAATAATTAAATTTCTTAACAAATTAATAAAATATGAAATGAGAATTTATAAGAAGTTTTTATCTATTATAATTCATATATTTTATACAAATAGAGCAAAAAGTGTTGTTTTTGCATGTTTTGAATTTATTCTTTTTAATTACAAAAAAATTTACGATATTGATATAAATATTAATCAATATATAACTAATGGTGTTGAATTAGAAAAACAATGTACAATTAATAACAATAGTATTATTGAAATTGATAAAAAAAAAAACCAAGAAAATGCTATCACATCAGAAAATAAAATAATTAAAGAAAATAATAAAGTAGTTAATGATATAGATGATAAAAATTATTCTAATAATTTTGATAAATTTTTATATTATTGTTTTAAACAATTATTAAAATATTTTTTTAGTGAAGATAAAAATATAGTTTATATAACAACTAAATTATATGAATATGTTTTTCTCATTACTGATTTATATGATGCTTTTGTACATCATGATTTATTAAATGATTTTTCCCACAATATTTTAAAAAATTTTTATCAGAAAGATTTATCTATTAGAAAAAATTTATTAAGTATCTTATATTATTTAATAAATAAAAAAAACTTTCAAAATATTGCTTATAATATTATTGTGTATTTATATAATAATGTGGAAAATAATTTTTCCGATGAATATATAAATGTCATTTTAAACTATGGAAAAAATAATTTACATAATTTGGAGAATATAAATTTATATGTTTTTATATTATTTTATATATTATGTCTAAATAATCACAATAAGGAATTAGATACACTTAATCAAATTTTTCAAATAAATAAAGAAGTTAAAGAAACACATATAACTACAATATTTCTGAGTTGCATTTTTATAATAACATATGGAACAATAATTATAAAAAATAATTTAGAAAAAAATCATTATGCTTTTGATGATGTATATTTAAATAAAAAAACATTCGAAATAGTAAACACTAATGAAATAAGTGATAACAATCATTTGGATATCTATAATAATTCAAATTGCTATGAAAATTACAAGGTAAAAAATAATAATGGTGATAATAAAGTAAATGAAATATACAAGGATATTATAAGCATAAAATGTGATAATACTTATGATAATATGAATGATAAAATTAATGATTCATTGTATGAAAAAAAGGAGATGGAAAAATATAGAATTATAAATAATGTTTTTAATGATGAAAATTATGATATAATGATAATGAACGATATATATAATTTTAAAAAAGAATTCAAAGAATTAGAAAAATTAAATAAATATGATATATTTGAATACATTATTGTAATATTAAATTTATATGATAAGATAAACCAGAACAAAAAAAAATTTATATATCAAGATTTGAACTGCATAAATGTTGCTTCTTTTGAGTTTATTGTTTATTTTATTAGTATTTATGTTGAAGAAACATATGATAAAATAAAAGAATTCAAAAGTAAAGAATTTTTAAAAATATTTTTCTTTTCATTATACTTATTTTTTATTAATTTTAGCTCAAGTAGTATATTATGGAATATCACTAAGATTTTTATTTTTTTTTATCAGTTCAAGGAAAATGATGATTTACATTTTTATTTTCAAAAACTGGAGTATCATATTAATTATTTAATAAATCAAAAAAATGATGTCGCAAACTTAGATAAATGTTTTATGTTAAAAAATATCTTATCTCTTTTAAATAACAAACAAAATAAAGATACTTTTAATTTTTATAATTATTTTACTAATTTTTTAGAATTAAAAGAATCTGATAAAAATTTTGATTTTGAAAAGCCTTTTAAATATGATGATTCCTTTTTTTATGATACTGAAGAAAAAAAAGAAAAAAAAAAAAAAAAAACTTTTGAAAAAGTATATTTAGGTAGTAATATAACAAATGTTAATAATAATAATGAAAAAAATTTAAATAAAGAAGAAAATATACATATAGAAAAAAATATTTTAGAAAATGAATTTCTTGTATTAGTAGAAAAACAGAAAGAGTTTGTCAGAATATGGAAAGACAAAAACATATTTTTTTTGATTGACAAAAATAAACATTTTAAATTATATTTCCAAATTAATAAGGAAAAATGTTTATTGTTTTTATATTTAAAATTATTAAACAAAGGAATTATATTAAATAATTTTAATTTGTATAGTTCTTCTAATATAGCAAAATTTGATGTAATAAATAGTGAGGATTCTAATAATTTTGAATTTATTGATGATTATGAAGATAATTTTTGTGAAATGAACTTTGATAAAAATAATCAAAAAGAATTATTAAATAATAACTATAACATAAATAACGAAAATGATGTATGTTCTAAAAAAATAAAATGTGAAGAAATTATTGAAAAGAATTATTTTATATCTCTAAAATATGAGAAGGATGTATCCTTTATTAAATTAAGTTATGATTATTCATATAATTTTCAAAATTATGAAAATAAAAATTTATATATTCCATATGTAAATATTCAACCACTTCATTTATCAATAGATGAATTTAAAAATGTAAAATTTAAAAAAAAAAAAAAAAAAAAATATATTATTCCCATAAAAAAATCTTAATTTAATTTTTTTTAATATTTGATAAAATTTTTTTTTTTTTTAGGTAAATAAAAAAAATGGAAAATTTAGGAACATGGTTTATGAGATAAAGATAGAAAAAAATTTAAATATAAATAAATATATTTTCAACTGTTTTTTATTTTTATCTGAATATCTAAATTTTTACTTTTTTAATATGAAGAATATTTTTCTTAATTTTCAAAAAAATGAACATCTAGATGAGCTCCGTATAATTTTTTGTATAAAAAGTTACATAGAAAAACAAAATTTAGAAGGTGGGAATTTTATTCGAAATGCATATTTCTTTATTTTAAATATATATACATGATTTTTTTTTTGTTATAAAAATTAATATTTATAGATAAAATGATCCTTCTGGTTAACATCCTACACAAGCCAAAAAATGAAATAGAAGGTTTTTGCTTTTATGATGTTACTATAAAAATAAAAATATTAAATGATTCAGAAGATTTATGTAATCAGATACTTAATTATTTTGTGTTTTATATGGAAAAAATATTTTTACAAAGAATTAAAATTAATTACTAAAATGAATCATAGTTAATTTAAAATATAATATCTTGTAGGATAAAAAAAAAAAAAATCTATAAAAATGTTTAAAGTAAATTTTTAAGGCACATTTTAGTAAAAAAATATTTTAAATACGTTTAAATTTTTCTTCAATTACACAAATTTTTTTATGTTTAGATAAATATATCAGACTGATTATTTATTTTGATTTTTTATAAATTTTTATTAGCTTTCATATATGTCTTTTGAATAATTTGAATAAAACTATTAGAATCATTCTAAATATTAAGCAAAACATTTCTAATAGTTCCTTTTTTTTTTTTTATAAAAATTTATTTAGATTATTTATTAATGTTTTATTTAATTTAATTTTTTTTTTTTTTATTTATTAAAGGTAAAAAAAAAATATATTTTTTTTGTAAGGAAATAATTTACTGAATGATAATAGATTTAATGCATATTTTTATTGCATAATACTAATAAAACTATTAGAAAAAATTAGAACAAAAAATAAAAATGTATATTTTAAAATATATTCATATTTTCATTATTATAATAGACATATTGATGCAATAAAAATATTTTTAGCTAGTATTTAAAAAATTTTTTATTATGTAATATATAAGATGTTAACACTTATAAGGTCAATATAGTAAAGTATTTTAGAATATTTAATAGATTTTTAATTGACAATTAAAAAAAAATTTTAGTTTAATTATTTAATATTTAAAATTTGTATTTAACGAACGAAAAGATAAATATTGAAATATGTATGAAAAAAAAAAAAAAGAAAAAAAACAAAAAAAAATATTAATAAAATAAAAAAAAGCAAAAGATTAAATAATAGATGCTTAATTAGTATTTAAAAATGTAAAATTATATTTTTGAACAAATAGAAAATAAGGTTGTTTTTAGACACATAAAGATTAACTATAATACATACTGTACCTTTATTTTATTACTTTTTTTTTTTTTTTTTTTTTTTTTTGTAATAAAAAGCAAATATACATTATATATTATGATTTTATTTTTATTAATTATTCTTTATTCATATATATATATGTATAATTTATTAATCTTTTTTTTTCTATTAATTTTATTTCTTTTTAATCTTAGCTACTTCTTAATATATATTTCAAATTAATTCTAATAATGAATAATAAATATATTGTATATATTTTTTTTTATCAAATTAATATATATATATATATATATATATATATATATAGATTTTCAAAATTAATAATTTTATACATATGTTTTATTAAGTATTTTTAATATTTCTTCAAATTTTTTTTTTTTAGTTTTCTTTAACTTCAATATTTTTTTTGGCTTTAGCTATTCCAACCATTGATGGTTTTCCCTTAGTTCCTCTTATGAAAACAGTAAAGTAATGTCTCATAAATGATATACTACCAAGTAAAAAGGCATTGTTGTTTTCTGATGGCACATCTATTTGCATATATGCAGGTATACAAGTATCTTCATTTAAAATCATATATTCATCTGGAGTTAATTCAACTATTAAATTTCCAAATATATATTTAATGCTAGGGTAATTTTTTAAGACTTCTTTATAATTATCTTCGTTACAAGAATTAGTAGGTATTAAGTTTAATAATGTATTTATATGAGTACTGGGCATAGTGTTATATGATGTACCTGTATCAAATATTGCATAACTTTCTTTTTCACAACATATTTTTTCTTCTCCTACATATATAGCATCTAATTTTACTTCCCAGTAGTATTCTTTAACAACTGGTAACATATAAATTTTTCCTTCATAAAAAGATTTACTTATACCTCCTATCATAAAGGTTGATGTATTGTCATAAGGAGATATATAAAATGAAAACTGCTCAAGAACATTTTTGTTTTGTTTAACTAAGTTATCAAAAAAAGGAGTACTTCCAGCTGATAACATTTCTGGAAATCCTAAACCAACTATGCCTTCAAATTCGATATATTCAAAAATATTATCTCCATCATTTTTATTATTATCTGATTCACTTTCAACTAAACCAAACGTTTGATTTCTTACTACATGTTCTCCCAATATAAAAGTCTCAGTTCCTATAGACCCAGAAATAGAACCAGAACCAAAAACTATACGTAAACGTTTTCCTATTAAGGTTCTTCTAAATGTTTTTGACTTATTAGGGTTATACCTGTGTACTTTTTTACAAGATTCTTCTTCACATTTAGTTGTAACAACCCATAAATTTGTACTTCCCGTATCAAAAATAGGATGCATTTCTTGAGGAGGAGTTCCTATTAGTAATTTTCCAACAAATTGACTATCTCTCAAATGTTTTAATGGAACTAAAAATACATTGTCATTAGTTTGTTCAACAGTTGCATTTTTATTATGTAAATCTATAAAATTTTTTTCTATATTCAGATTATTTTCTTTATATTTATGTCTTTGAATACCAGGAAGAAAATCAGATAAATCTGTTTTTATATATTCACTAAAATTCAAAAAATTTTCATTTAAGCTTAGTTCTTTTCTTTTCTTTATTTCTTCAGTGATAATATCCATATTATCTATAGAATTTCCAGAATTATGTCCAAAACTTCCAGAAATACCTTCTCCTCTTTTGACATAATATTTTACATTACCTAGTTTTAATGATTCATGATGCTTTTTAAGATTACTATGATCATTAATATTTTTTTTATTTAATTTTAAAGGTATTGCATGCGTTGCTTCATTTTCTTCATATAAACATGCAGTACAATTGTATAAATTTTGACACTCTGAACAAGGGATAGGATTTGGTCCAATTGTATATAATTTATCGCAAGAATTACCCTTAAATATATACAAAAAAAATAAAAAAATACAAAAGAATGATAAACTATTATTTTTTTTCATTTCTTCAACTTAACGTTTTATTTTATTTTTAATTTTTTATTTTTATTTCTCTTTTAGGTTTTTTTTTTTTTTTTTTTTTTAATATAGAAGTCTTAAATAAGCCCTTATGTATAAATAATACTAAAGTAAGTTGTGTAAATTGTAAATGGTAAATTTTTTATTATTCGTGAGGAAATTATCTCATAAATATGTGTTGTATCATACTGTGAATATTCTGAATTTTTCTTGATGTATTTTAAAAATATGAGAACTCCTAAAAATAAATAAACAACACTTAATTCACATTAAAGATTAAAGTAAATTATTAATATTTGGAAATTTTATGTACTTTATGTGAATATAAATAGATGCATATATCTTTAATAAAATGAAAAAGTAAAAAATTCTTTTTAATATAGATATTAATTTATATGACGAAAAAAAGTTGGTACGTGAATGTTGAACTAGCTTAGCTGTTCATTTACATGTAATAAAGATACATATTAAAATGTAACAAAAAAAAAAATATATAAATATATATATTTATATAAGAATTATGAGTTGTTAATAAAAAAACAACTTTTTTTTTTTAATTTTATATTATTTTTTTTTTTGTAACCATATAAAAAAAAAATTTATTAAAAAATTAAAAGAAATTTCATTCCATAGCAACTCCTACATAAAAAAAAGGAAAATTTTAATTTTATTTTCATAAGATAAATTCAATTATATTTTTTTTTTATATTTATTAAAACTCGTATGTCATTGATGTTTTTTTATTTTTTTTTGCATGATCTATTCACCTCTGAATGATTTAAAAATAGTGTTTCTTGATCATTTTGGTAGATTAAAAAAAAAAAAAAAAAAAAGAAAAAAAAAATCAAAAAGAAAAAAGTAAAAAAGAAAAAGAAGAAGAAAAAAAAAAAAAAAGATAAATAAGGAAAATGCTTAATAGATTAAGTTTATGAGTGTCCAATTTAAGTAAGATCTATAAAATGAAAATAAATGATGCTCGATGAAATATGGAAATATATGAAAAAAAGGATTTCATACAAGTGTGGTGAAAATTTTGTATTTTTTCTGTGAACTAAAATGTAAATATTTCAATTCATGCAAAAAAAAAAAAAAAAAAAAAAAAAAAAAAAAAAAAATCATGCATCAAATTTTTGCAATTTTGTACAACAGTTTATAAATATTAATTTTCCACACATAAAAGCTTATAAATGAAGTTATCTAATTATATATTTTCTAAATGTAAAAAAGAACTTTGATACATTAATGCATATAATAAAAAAATATTATTTTTTTTTTTAGAAATTTACAATGTTAAATAATAAAAAAAACCTAATTTTAAAAATTACCAAACGATTTTTAGCTACTTGTGTGAATGCTTTTTTTTCACACAGTATAGCTAGCCAAAAGAGATAATGAGAAAAAAACATATAAATTTTGTATTTTATAAAAATAATTAATCATTTTTTTAATATAAAAATCTTTTTAAAACGTATTATATATAATTTATTTAGCATATTATTTATTTATTTAATTTTTTAATGAGTTCGAAACTTATAATTTTTGCCTTTTTATAAAAAGAAATTGCCATATCTAAGCCTTCCTAATATTAAAGGAATTAATATATTGAAATTTGTCTATTGAATATTTTCTTACTATTTTTCATGGGATTTAATTTTTTAGAAGTAATTTCTAAGTAGAAAATATACTATAAAAAAAAAAACTTGAAAAATGTAATATAAAATTGACTTAATTTTCTTCTAACACTGTTTTATAAGAACAAAAATTTTAATAAAAATCTTTATGATACTATTTACTAATTTATTTATTTTTTTTTTATAAACAAAGAAATTATAATTTTTATTTATAATTAAAGAGAAATAAAAAAATATATATATATATATATATTTCTATTCCGGGAAGTGGAGTTACAAAGGAATGTGAAAATTGACAAATATTAAAACAGTGTATAATAGTTTTATAATAAAACCAAATAAACATAAATATTTTTTGAAAGTTATTGCAAAAGTTTAAATTTTGAAAAAAAAGGAAATTATCTTTTTAATTTTTTCTTCTATTTTTTACATGGTTTTATCATGCAAAAATATGGTAACAAAATATGTGCATTCATCTGGAATTTGGATTAAATAAAAATATGTACTAAAAAAATATATATTTTAAGGGAATAATGTTGTAAACGAATGATTTTACAATCAGTATGAATTAAAGTTTCTTTTTTTTTTTTTAATTCTTTAATTTTTTAATTTTTAATTTATCTATCTTAATAAATTCATAAAGAAATATTTTTTTATATAATAATAAAAAAAAAAAAAAAAAAAAAAAAAAAAAAAAAAAAGTTTTTGGTTTTATTTTTCATTACTTCAAAGCATTCTGGATCATTAATTTTTAATAAATAAACAAAAATTACTTATGTTTATGTTTACTTAAAAAAAAAAAAATATATGAGAAGAAAAGAAATTAAATTAAACATATATTATTTTAATATTTTATATTTTAAAAACTGCAATATTTATAATAGTATTATTTATTTGTAAAGATATTAATTACATTTAACATAAAAAAATATTTTATATAAAATATTTAAATTAAATAGGAGATTATAATATTTGGGAATCATGTCGAATATAAGGTATATATATATATATATTATATATTTCATATTGGTTTAAGGGATATAGTTTATATATTTAATTACCATATTGTGAATAAAGGAAAGGATATTTTTTTTTTTTAAATAAATATATTTTTATAGAATTAAAATATTTTTACACTTAAAAAAAAAAAAAAAAAAAAATGAATATATATATTTATGTATATTTTTATTAGAAAATTCTTTGACTTTTTTAAATTTTCTGAGAGTATGCTCTTATTATTTAAATGAAATTAAGTATGTGTAGTACATATTTGAATTGTATTTAATATATCTATTTCAATTTATTTGTTTAAAGTTTTTACATTTATTATTATTAATAATTTCTTTTTAATACTAGTTTGTGCATAAGGTTATATAAGTATTAAAAAATAGACTAACACACCATAGTTTCTAGATACATATAAATATACATATTAGAAAAAAAGGAAAAGTTACAAGATAAATTTTTTTAATAAAATAATATATTTTTTAACTCTTTTTATTTAATATTTTATCTAAATAAAACTAATAATTAGTTTGTATTGTATTTAGTAGAATATATATATAATTCATTTTATATAAAATATATATATAATTCATTTTATATAAAATATATATATCTTTCATTCTATATTCTATTTTACTTAATATAGATATATATACTCGTCACATAAAATGTAGAAACCTATGCATAATTTTTTTTATGAATTATTTAGATCACTGAGTGATTTAAGAAAAGATGAAAAAAAAAAAAAAGAACGAATTTCTCATTATACAGGAGGTCATAACAGGTTATTTTATTTATACATATATTAATTCTTATGATTAATATTTTTATTGTTTACATTTTTTTTTTTAATTTTTAAAATAATAAAATCAAAATAATTAACAATAATTATAATTATTTTTATATAAGAAAAACTTGAATAATATAATAAAAAGTAAATATTTTTGAAAAATGTATTATTTATATTTTTGTAATATGAATTATATTTTGTGATATTTCAATATAGTGCTATTTTGTATTGTTTAAAATAAAATTTTTTTTTTTTTTAAATATTTTATAGTGGATTAGAAGTTGAAAATTCAGATGATGATTTAGTTCAAAACTTTTTGAGTTCAAAATTATCAGAAAACTGTAGGCATATCACTTTATACAAAAATGGTTTTATAATAGATGATGGTGAATTTCGTGATTTAGAAGTTGAAGAAAATAAAAAATTTATGGAGAATATTGAAGCAGGTATTTTACCTAAAGAATTGGCCTCTAAAGATAAAACAGTTAATGTTGCATTGAAAGACAAAAGTAATCAAATATATACAAAAAAAAAACAAAAAGACGATGATTTATATAAAGGACAAGGAATAAAATTAGGAGGAAATACATCAAATACAAATGAAGAGGAATTAAATAAATTACTAACATCTTCTCCAAGTGAAGTTAAGAAAATAAATATAGATGAAAATAAACCATTAACAACTTTACATGTAAGATTATATAATGGTAGAAAAATTTCTCAAAAATTTAATTATGATCATACAGTAGAAGATTTATTTCAATACGTTTATAGTGTTACACCCATTAATTTTTCACTATATTTTGATTTTCCTCTTAAATTAATTGAAAGAAATGAACAAACATTAGAAAATGCAAATCTTTTAGATACTATTATAACGCAAAAACTAACTTAATAAAAATATGTAACCAATTTTTATAATAATAAAAAAAAAAAAAAAAAAAAAAAAAAAAAATTATATTTTTTATTTTTTAGAAAATTCTCGGATAATAATTTTGAAAAAATACATTATTATATATTTTTTAATTTTTTTTTTTTTTTTTTTTTTTTTCCCCAAACCAAGTCATATAACTTTATTTTTCTTTTTTTTATCTTTTTGTTATAATTTTTTTTTATGTTCCTATTATTTATTTTTTATGTAAGAGGATAAAATAATTTGTTTTATATATATATATAAATATATATATATATATGTATATAAGAAAAAAAAAAAAAATTAAAATAAAATATAAATTGATAAAAATAAGGAATGAGATAAGTAAGAAAATGAAAAATTATTCTTAATAAAAAAAAAAAATGAGGTTAAAATTAAATATGTATATATATATATTTTTTCAATATATATCACAAAAATAATTTTAATATAATTTTTCTTAAACATTAAATCAAATTTATTTTTTAATTCTTAAAAAAATTGTGAATAGATTTTTTTATTTAAATTAACTATTTTTAGTTTAATTCATTGGGTTTAAATATAAGAATCTGTTTTTTAAAAACAGTTTAGAAAATATAAACAATTTATTTTCTTCTTAATGATTTTTTAACATACTTAAAATGGATGGTACGTTGCAGGTAAGAAATATTATTTATATCTAAAATGAAGTATTTAAATAAATCTTTTTGTAATTTAAAAAATTCATATATTTTTGTTTTTTTTTTTTTTTACACTTTATAATATACATAATTTATTAAACAAGTGTGTGCATACATATATTTTTAAAAGTTTATTTTGTTTTCAATATATGTAATAAAATATAAATATATGATTTTATACAGTATAAAAATTTCCATAAAATTATATCGAAATTAATTTATGAAAATAATTATTAAAAGATATTTATTTTTTTATTCAAATGATATAATTTACATAATTTTTAAGCAATTAAATATAAGACTATATTTATCCTTATTATATTTATATGTTGTAATGATATCTCACACATTTTAGTTGTATAATTAATAATTTATTTTACACTGTAGTAATATAGTTAATAATACCATATTATATATATATATATATTTATTTATTTATTTATTATTACAATTCATTTTATTTCAAATGCATATATTTTTAAAACTTTCAGTATTTTTTTTTTTTTTTTTTTTTTTTTTTTTTTTTTTTTATAGCTAAGGGATTATTTTTATGCAGGTTTTAATAATTATTGTTTAAATAATTATAAAAATATAGAAGAAGAAGAAGAAAAAAAGGAAGCAGATGAATACATATATCAAATATATATGATTAGTAATATAAAAAAGGATTTTATTTTAAGTTTAAAATATGAAAAAAATGAAAATTTATATTTATTATATCTATACTACAAATATTATTACTTAAATGAAAAAGAAGATGTTTTATCAGAATTAAAAAATTTAAAGATTTCTTCAACAAATGGGAATATTTTAAAAAGTAGAATACTATTTGATAATGATTTATTAGATGAATGTTTTGATTTATTGGAGGATGGTACTGTTGAAGTAAAAGCAGCTAAAATATTTTTTTTGTTAAGTATAAATAGAAATGATTTAGTAAAAGAGATAATAAATGAATATTTAAAGATGAATGATGAAATACCAATAATTAAAATTGCTTTAGCTATCTATTATTTATATAATGATAATTATAAAGAATCTTTTTTAATTTTTGATGATTTGGAATCTTTATATTCATCTGTTGTTAATGATTTTTCTACAATTATATTAAATGGTAAAAGTGTATCTAATATTATAAGTTATGAGTTTAATGATGCTAAAGAATATTTGAAAAATGCTATAAAAAATGAAATAAATAATAGTGATATATTATATAATTTAATTACTTGTTCTCTATATTTGTATGAATTAGATGAAGCAGAAGAATATTTAAAAAAACTTTATGATTTTTTTCCAGTTCATGATAGTATAAGTGTTTTAAGAAAAATTGATTATGAAGTAGATAATTTTGTTTGTGAATTCTAATATTTTTATAAAATATTGAAAGAAATAAAAAATATAATAGTATATCTGGTTTATTAAGACAAAATAAAAAAATTTTCTATTCTTATGATGCACCAAAAAAAAAAAAAAAAAAAAAAAAAAGAAAAGATTATTATAAGGGTAAAATTATTTTTATATACTATTTATATAATTGTAAAATTATTTATTAATATATCAAAAAAAACTTTAAAATATTTCTAAAAAAGTGTTTAGTTAGCATATACACATATATATATTATTTAGGGTTTACTACACTTTTTTTATATTAATGATATGGTATATGTATTCTTTTTTTTTTGTATTATTATGTCTTCTTTATTTAGTTTTTTTCCTATTAAAAATTTATCTATTCTTTCATCACAATTTTTTATATATACCTTTTCACCATTTGTTAGTTGACTCTTCTGTAAAATTTAAATGAAAATAAAACTAAATGTATGTATCATATATAATTCTATGAAAAAAATGTTTAGAAAAAAAAAAAAAAAAAGTAAATATATATTTTTTTTTTTATTCGTTATACTTTATATTTATAATATATAAAAGCACTAATAACAATTAAATTTTGGGGAATGTAATATAAGCAGGCTCCCTTAAAACATTGAACCAATAAGGAATTTTTATTAAAACTATAAAATGGTAATTTAAACATTATAAAATTTTTTTTTATACAAGAAAATATTATAAAAAAAAAAAAAAAAAAAAAAAAAAAAAACAAATAAAATCAAGTGATTATAAATTCTATAAAATTATTCTTCTAAAAATATAAATAAATTTTGAACAATAGAATTATTTCACTATATACAAGAAAAATATTATTCTATTTTATATATTTTAATCATATGTAAGTTAATTTTTATTTATTTATGATAATTAATCAATTTTAAAAAATTAAAAATAGAATTTGTTAAAAGATATTATATTTTTAGAAATAAGTAATATAATAATAAAATAAAGAATAAAAATTTGAACTTAATATTTTTTTCAAGTAAATTTAACTAAAAAAAAAAAAAAAATTAAGAATAACACATTATAATAATAGAAATGTATGTTAATTTATTTAATTAAAAAATAAAAAAATTTTGTGATTCATATACATTTTTGAAATATATTTTTTTCTTTTCATATTTTTTTTTTTTCTTTCATATATATATATATACAATTTTTTATCTATATTTTATTAAAAATATTTTATTTATATATATTTTCCTAACATTTTTTCAAATTAATTTTAATAAGCATGTATTATATTTTTTTCATAGATTTTGTTTTGTAGGAAAAATAAATTAATAAAATACCTATTTAATAAAAATTTTTTAAAAAAATATAAATTTTAAAAAAAGAAAATTATATTAGAAATAATAATTTATAAGGTGTAAAGTATATTCATACTCTATAAAACTCATTATTATATCTCTTATAAAGAAAAAGAAGATTTGCACCTTTATTTAAATTTAATTAAAGTTATATATAAATTATACTTTTTAAATTAAACCAAAATACATAAAATAATAAAAAAGAAATCCTTATTAATTATAAAAGAAAATTTGTTATATCCCAATTTATTAAAAGAATATAAGAATTACATATATGTATATTAATAATCCAAACAATAATTAAAAAAATTTAAATTTCAAAGTTTTTTACACTTTTTAATTTTATTATATTTTTCTTTTACATTTTCATTTATACACTTATTTTATTAAAACTACATGTTGTATGTATAATAAAAAAAAAAAAAATACAATTTTTACGGTTTTTTAAAATAATTAAAAAAATTATGTAAAAAAAAAAAAAAAAAAAATTTAAATAAAGTAAAACAAATAAAATAATAGAAAATATATTAATATATAAAATAGTAAAGTATAAATAAAAATAGAGGAAAAGGAATAAATCAAAAAAAATTTTATAAGGAGAAAAAAAAAAACTTTTAATTTTTCATTCTTGATTTACTTTTTGCTACTTTGGGTTCAGGTGTTTGTTGCAAACATTCTCTTTTGAAGTTTTCTTTTTTTGTACTTGATCTGCTTATACTTTCTTTTTTTGCACTTATCGATTTAGATTTTTTTTTTTCATCTGCTATTATTTTAGAATTTGTAACTTTACTTTTTGTAGTTGGTGCAGTTTTTCTCCTTTTTTTTGTAATTGGTTTATCTACTATTTGATACAACTTTTTGTTTACATTTTCATTTAAGGATGTATTTTCTTTGCAAGATCTCCTAGGTTGTTTTCTAGTAGGACTTTCATTACTTAAATATGATTTATTCCTTAAACTTCTTTTTCTTTTATTTTTCTCATTTTCCTTTTTATTATCATAATGCTCTTCTATTTTTTCATTTAATAAATTATTTTCTTTAATTACAATATTTTCATTTTCTACACTTTGAAATTCTTCTTTTGCTGGAGATGAATTTCTATTACTTTGCGTTAATGGGGTATGGTATATTTCTTTAAAAAAATTATCTTCATCATCTTTATTTAAATTTTTTTCTTTTTCTATTTTTTTTTTTTTTTCTTCTTCTTCCTCCTCCTCCTCTACATTTTCAATTTTATTTTTTCTTTCTTCTAAACTTTGTATTTGCTTTTTTTTTTCTTCTAAATACATTTTTACTATTTCCTCCTTCTTTTGTTCTTTTTCTGAATCTTCATTTTCTTCTACTTCTAATTTTACTTTTTTTATTTCTTTTTCATTATCATTCACTTTTGATTCTTCTATTATTTTCTCCTCATTTTCTTTTATATCTAATTTATGTGTTTTCGTTTCTTCATTAATTAATGTTTTTTTCTCTTTATTTTCATCTTCTAAATAATTTTCTATTTTTTGTTTTTTAGAGAAAACTTCTTCATTGTCTAATATTTCATGAGTTCTCTTTGTAGTGATTTTTTCAGAATCTAAATGAGAAGAAATAAATGCGCAATGAGATGAACCTCCAGAAAAGGATACAATTTTAATATTATTCATAAAAAAATCTAGATCAATTTTAGAATTAAAGTTTATTTTATTTATAAAATGTGAAAAATTAATTTCAGATGGAATATTTTTTTCAATAACTGCTATACTTGTGTTTATATCAAATTCATTTCCTCCAGTTCCCCAACCAAATAATTTCTCATTTTCTGTTAGAACTAAGCAGTGATCAGTACCACATGATATATTTTTAATTATATAATTATTTTTTTTAAAGAAATCTAGTTCTAATGGACAATATGCATCTTCTTCACTATCTATTCCTAATATTTCTCTATTTCCCCAAATATATAAATCATTATTTTTTAATAAACATACAGTAAAACTTTGACCACCGCACAATTGTTTAATTTCTTTATTTGACAGAATTTCTATTTTTTCAAACTTTTTTATTATATTATCTTTTAAAGATACACCACATGAACCATAAGCATTTCTACCAATACCATACACATCTAGTGACTCCTCCAATTGGATAAATGTATTATTACCACCACAGAAAATATTTTTAAATTTTGTAGAAAAATTAAAGTCCTTATAGTGATAACAATTAGGAAATACATATTTTATTCTTTCAGATTCTGAAAATTGTTGATCATAAAAAGTATTGCATACTTGACATGAATCACTATTACCCAATGTATAAATATATTCACAACTTTCATCAAGACATATTAAATGATCTTCACCTGATATTATATTAATTATTTTAACATCATTATGTTTAATATCCTCTTTTAATTCACTTAAATTATCATTTTCATTATGAGCATTAATGCTTTCATTTATTTTAAAATTCGAATTTTTGTTTTTCGTAAAATTGAATTTAATTTCAATAAATTCATAAGATTTTGATATTATTTCATTTTCCTTTTCGAAAGATGGTAAACCTAATACTCCACAATAATCTCTAAATCCACCTGTTATGTAAACTTTACCGTTTTCTAATAAAATTGCTGTATGATTATCACCACATGTTATTTTTTTTATTTTTGATGGAAATTTTATATTTATTAATGTTGGAGTGTGTTCAAGATTCTTAGTATCATTCGAATCTGTTTTTCGACCTAAAACACCCATATCATTACAACCAAAAGAATAAAGTTTATCATCTTTTGTCTTTATAATTGTATGCATTGAACCACATATAACTTCATCAATATCACTTGGTAAGTTTTGAACTGGTGTTGGATCTGCCTGAATGTAATCAGTACAATATTCTGGTGGTAATTGACCACATTCACCTGACCCAAATATAAAAAGTGTATTTTTCATTTCTTTCATTTTATCTGATTTATTATCTGCACTATTATTATACTTATCTTCTTTCATTCTATATATGCGCTATTTGATTCTTCTATTATATATATACAAATTCATATGCTTTTAGAACTTTACAAAAAAAAAAAAAAAAAAAAAAAAAAGGAAAATCAGAGATTTTTTTCTTTTTTTACTTATTTTTATTTTATATTTTTATATTTATATAAAGTTTTAATACATAAAAATATGCCACAAAGATATTAATATATAGCATATAAAAATATTTATAAGTTAAATGTTTTTTTTAAGTTAAAATAATATATTAATTTTTTTTTTTTTTTTTATTTCAAAAAATAAATTTTTATTATTTTAGGTTCTTACGTTTTATCGGAAATTTTTCAGAAATATAAACATATATTTTTATATGTAATTTATTAGAAAATTAAAAAAAAAAATTATATGCAAATTAGTTAAGGGCATAACATGCTTTAAAAATATTATAAATCTATTTTACCTCATTTAGAAAAATATTAAAAAAAAAAAAAAAATATATATATAAAATAAATGAATAAAATATATGAATAAAATATATAAATAAAATAAATGAATAAAATAAATAAATAAAATAAATAAATAAAATAAATAAATAAAATAAAATAATACAAAATAAATAATACAAAATAAATAATACAAAATAAATAATACAAAATAATAATACAAAATAATAATACAAAAGACTTTAAAACCTTTTAATAATTAAGGCAAAAATAATTTTAATATAAATGAAATATTGATTTCAATTACAATTATTAACTTATATTAAACAGAAAAATATAAATTAAGAAAATCAAAATACTATAACACAAAAAAAAAAAAAAAAAAAAAAAAAAAAAAAATTCTGTAATAATTATATTTCATTGCAAAATTTCAATTAAATAATAGTACATTGGTATAAAATACTTAATTATAAATATATATAAATATGTTTTTTATTTATATAGATACATTTAAGTAAAATAGTTATTTAATAAATTTTTGTGTATTCCCTTTTTTTTTTTTTTTTTTTTTTCTCATTTAACGGTGATATTAAAATAGGAAGAATGAAAATATAAATTAAAATTTATGCATATTTCAATTTGTTTTAATCATTGTAAAAAGAAGAATATATATAATGAGGGTGTAAATATAAAAAATTAAATAAAAAATAAATGTAAATTCAATGGAAGGTAGTAAGTGAAATTGATTATTCAATTATATGTTTTTGATTTTTTTTTTTTTTAGATGTAAAACATTTAGTTTTTATCTTCTTTTTATATTAAGCTATTTATTGTAGAAATAATTATTTTATATTTTAAGAAATTATAATTTATACAATTATTTGCTTAATTTTCATTTATATACACATATATTTTTCTTTCGAATCTCTTTTAAAAGTATAGTATAAATATATCTATATAAAAGTGTTTTTAGAAAATTATTGTAAACGAAAATATCCTTAAGTTTTGAATATATAAAGAAAAAAGAAAAAAGCATTTAACAACATTAAAATTATTTTTTATATTCATCTAAAACACACATTATTTACATTCATAAAACATTATATTTTATTAATGCAAAATTAAGATAGTTGTGTATAAACTAGTTATTATAACATTTAATTTTACTTTTATTTTTTGTGTTTTTCTTTTTAAACTTTTTTTTATTACTATTACAATTTTACAATAAATTACATTCTTACATATATATATATATATATATATATATATATATATATATATATATATATATATATATATATATAAATATATATATAATTTTAATAATCAAGTTATTACAAAAAAATAAATTGGCCAATAAACAATCTATATATATTTTAAAAGAAAAAAAATAAAGTGAAAATTTATATTTATAAAAAAATTTTAACTATTCTGAAATTATGTGTGTTTTACACAAAGGGCAAATTTTATTTCATTCTTTAAATATTGATTCTTTTGTAATGTAAAATATTTTATAATTTTATTAATGTGTTTATTTCTAATTAATAAAATTAAGGAATATTGAAAAAAAATATTTATATACATTATTATTTTTTTTTTTTTTTATTTTTATTTTATTTTTTTTTCTTTTTATCATTTTATGTATAAGATAAAAAAATAAATGAGTTAAATTTAAAAGTATTAGAAAATGATTAAGAACTTAGAATCTATAAAATTTAATATATATATATATGCATATATTTTACAAGTTTAGTTTTTTAAATATTATAGATATATTCAATACTAGTATATTTAGATTTTTATGTGGTTCTCTGATATTTTACTCTTTTATTAATTTTTATTTTATTTCATTAAATATTATTTTTTTTTATCGTATTAATTTTTTTTTTTTTTTTTTAATATATATATTAATTTTTAATATAATTTTTCATTATTATATTACGTATAATTTTTTTTAATAACGTTATTTGTTATTTATTTTTTTTAATAATTCTTTATTTTTAGTATTTTTAACTATGTTTTTTTTTAATATTTATTATTAATATATTTTTTTTTTTTTTTTATTATTTATTTCATTTTTCTATTTCCTTTTTTCTTTTATTTATCATAATGATTTTTTTAAAAAATGAGTTTTTGTGTAAGTAAAAGTAAAAGTATGAGTTTAAGTTTAAGTTATTCTTCAAAAAATGGGTTAGATAAAAATGTAGAAAAAAAAAAAAATACACAGAATAATTATACAATTGAAGAAAACTTTAATGAAGATAAGAAATATAAGGAAGGTATTAGAAATGATTTGGGTGATTTTAATATATCAGAAAAAACGAAAGGACACATTATTTTAGCAGAAGATAATTCAAGTGTGGATAAAAAATTAAAACATAAATTAACCGAAGATAGTGACGATGATAATTTAAAGAAAAAAAAAAGAAAAAAAGAACATAGCTATTCAAGTGATGGAATAAGTTTATCTTTTAGTGATAATGAAAAAAAAGAGAAAAAAAAAAAGAAAAAAATAAAAAATAATAAAAGAAAGAAAAATGAAAACAATAATTCAAAATATTTTGAAAGAGATAGTTGTGATTTAGCTGCAAAAAGAAAAAGAAAAAAAGAATATAATAGACGTAAAAAATATATATCAATAACAAGTAGTTATGAGAGCTATGAAAAAAAAAAAAAAGACAAAAAAAAAATGAAAAATGAAGAATATAAAAGAAAAAAGTACAATAGGATAAGTAGTGACAGTTTTTCAAGTTTTTATGAAGATATAAATTATAGTGATAGTAAAAGTAGAGATGAAAATAGTGAAGATAATAAAAAGAGAAAAACATCTGATTATGTAAAAAAAATTAATAGACATGAAGAAAAAAAGAAGAAAAAAAAAAAGAATTATAAGGATAGAAATAATTTAGATAGATTGAACATAAGTAAGAATTGTAATAGAAATAAAAGTGAAGATTCTTATTCAACTAACTTAAGTTATGAAGAATTAAAAAAAAAAAAAAAAAATAAAATAGAAAATGGAAATAAAGAAAAATATGAGATATCAAGCGATGCAGAAAAAGATACAAAAACAAACAATTTAAAATATTCTACCACTGAAAATATAGATAATATGAATAAAAAAGATATCAAAAATAATGAATTGGAAAATAATGATGATTACATGAGTAGAAATAAAAAACATGAGAATAAAACTTTAAAAAAAAAATTAAAACATGAAAATAAAAGAGAAAAGGAGAAAACAAATGGAAGGGATTTGGAGAAAGGAAAAATAAAAGAAAAAAATAAAGAAAAAGATAAAAAAAAAAAAAAGAAAAAAAAAAGAAAACATAATGATTATGATAGTGAAACATATGAATATACTTTTTCTTCTAATGATATGAGTGATTCTAATTATTTAGATTCATCTAAAGAACCAAATGTTTGTAGTCATAGCGTATCTGAGGAGTTATTAAGATCAAAAATTAAAGATTCTTACATTAAAAAAGTGAGTAATGAATCGGAAAAAAAAAATCATGATGAGAAATTAATAAAAAAAAAAAAGAAAAAGAGAAGAAGAGTTAAAAGCTATAGTGATAGTGATGAAATTAATTATCATTTAAAAAAGGATGCACTGAAAGAAAGAGAAATTAAAAGATATGAGGACAATGATAAATATCATAAACTAAATGAAAACAATAAAAGAAATGATTCAATAATAAAATATGAAAATAAAAGACAAAGTTTTTATTATAATGCTACACATAAACATAAATATTATGAATATCAAAATATAAATAATTTATTATGTAATGATAGATATTATAATAATAAAAATATTAATGGAATAGAAAAAACAGGAATAATAAATAGAGAAAAATCATGTCCTTTTTTACTTCGTCTTTTTTATAAACTTAATAGTGAGTATAATGATAATGATATAGATATATATTCAAAAGATTTTAATAGCAATGAACTTCAAATTTATGCATGGATTGATATTACAATGAGAGAAATAGTTACACTTGTAAAAGATTTTTATGAAGAAAGTAGAAAGAGAAATGCAGAGTGGATATTTAAAGTATTATCTAATGAAAAAAAACAATTAACTTTTTTATCAAAAATTCATAGTACAAAATATAATTATAAAGAAGATAATAAAACACTCTTATCATTAAATTACGAAATTGGAGATATAATATTACTATCTATTTTATTTGATAAATAACTGTGCATATATGTATATCATTATATGTGGTGTTTTCTTTATAATTATTTTATAAACATATAGGATAGTTTTGTCATCTTGTAATTTTTTGTTACAAATATATGAACATATATATATTTTTTTTTTTTTAATAATTAAAAAATATTTTCTTTATTTTATTATTTTTATTTTTTTTTTTTTTTTTACCTTTATTACTTCATTTTTTACACTTTCAATTTATTATTATTATTTTAATTCAAAATAAAAATAATAATAGCATTTTAAAACTGTTTTTTGTTTTTAAAAAATTAAGAAAAAAATAAATAAGTTATTTAAATATTTATTTAAAAAAAGAAAAATATGCGATTTAGAAATTAAATAGTTTTATTTATATATATATCTTTTAAATTAAATTATAAAATATATAAAATGAAATATATGAATTAAAAATAAAGGTAAAAGACACATATAAATATTCAAAATTAAATATTGTATTTATGTAAAAAAAAAAAAAAATACATGAAAACTAATAAAAATCATAAGAATATAAACATCTACTATATGATAAAACATCTATTTAATGTCTATCATAATTTTATATATTTTTTATCTTAAAGTAAAAATACTAATGAAATTTTATTTCATTAAATAAAAAAAAAAAAAAAAAAAAAAAAAAAAAAAAAAAAAAAAAAANNNNAAAAAAAAAAAAAAAAAAATATAATAAATAAATGAAAACGAATAGCAAATTAATATTAATAAATGCAAATAAAAAAAAAAAAAAAAAAAAAAAAAAAAAAAGACAAAATTTTATATGAATATCAAAAATATAACTAAAAAAAAAAAAAAACTATGTATAAAAATAGAAAAAATGAATATTGTATATTTATTAAAATGAAATAATGAAAAGAAATGCCCTATGGAGCAAAAAAAAAAAAAAAAAAAAAAAACAAAGATAAAAAGAAATAAAATAAAAAGATAATAATAAATGTATGATTCACTTAATTTTCTCTCAATTTTATTTTTGCATCATTAAATTATTTATAATTAATTTCTTTTTAATTCCATTTATGTTTTTCTCTATTTTGAATCATTTTATCTTATTATGATCTTATTTTACTTCCTTTTATCCTGTTTTATTTTTTTATTTTTTATTTTTTATTTTTTTTTTTTTCCTTGTATTTCCTTTTATTTCCTCTTTTTTATTATTATTTTCATTACATTTTATATTTAATTACAATATTTCCTTGTTTTTCACGAGTTTTAATTTTTCATCAATCTATGATTCCATGAAATCCATATTTATGTAGAATAAAATTATATAATACTTTTACATTCTTTAAAAAAAAAAAAAAAATAAAATTTATTTGAATTGGATGTTTGGGTAATTAGCATATAAATGAGACCAAGGATCAGCTATTGATTCTTTTGAATTAGTATGTTCATTATTTTGATATTTATTAAAATAATGAAAATTTTTTTTTTTTTTAATTGATCTTTTATTATTATAATTATAGTCACAATTCTGCGTCATATTTTGATAATTTACATTTTGGTTATACGGTGTATATGCATATTGAGGCATAGCTGGATAGAAATATTGATTTATAATTGGCGATGATGGTTTTTTAGAAATTTGATAATTATTTGTATCAGCATACATCGAATAATGTCTCTTTTTATCATTAAATTTATTAAAGTTCATTGTTTTCTGTATATATATTCTGATAATATACTTACTTTATTAATTTAAAAAAAAAAAAAAAAAAAAAAAATTATATTCAAATATATATTAAAACCAAAAAAGAAAAAAATTTCTTAAAAATTATTTTCCTTAAGCTATAATACTATTAAAAAATAAAAAATTGTAATTAATTTTTTTTTTTTTTATATATTGTTCTTTTATGAACTTTTTTTTCTTCTAAATTATATTTTTGTTGTAATTATTTATTATTATTTTTTTTTTTTTTTTATTTATATGATCATTTTTTAATTCTTTAAATTTTTAATAAAATGATATAAAATAAAAAAAAAAAAAAAAAAAAATTGCTTTCATATAAAGTAATTTTTTATGTTTTTCTTTTCTTTTTTTTTTTTTCTGATTATATACATTTCTTTCAATTTTTTTTTTTAGCATCTCAATTTTTTAAAGATATTTTTTTATAATATTNAAAAAAAAAAAAAAAAAAAAAAAAAAAAAAAAAAAATTGCTTTCATATAAAGTAATTTTTTATGTTTTTCTTTTCTTTTTTTTTTTTTCTGATTATATACATTTCTTTCAATTTTTTTTTTTAGCATCTCAATTTTTTAAAGATATTTTTTTATAATATTCTTATCAAGTTAAAAATAAAAAAATAAAATTCATTTAAAATTAGAGATTTTGATCTTCTAATATGCAAATATAAAATACATATTTTACTTTAATTAATACATAATTAATTTCATAAATGATTTAAGATGCAAGGAAAAAAGAAAAAAGTAAAAATAAAACAAAGTTAATAGAGAAAAACAATAGAAAAAAAAAAAAAAAAAACAATAAAAAATTAAAAAAAAAAAACAAATTCATGCAAAATGTTACTACTAAAATTGTATGAACACACCTTTCTTTCACACGTTTTTAGGAATTTTAAATTGCAAATTTTTTTTTTTTTTTTAAAACAAATAAAATATATAATTTAAATAATCTTCTACATATTTTTTACTTGAATTAAAAATTTTTTTTTATTTAAACCATCTAATTTTTTGATATACATACAAATAGAAGTAAAAAAAAAAAAAAAAAAAAAAAAAAAAAAAAAAAA